AGTTCTCTGATCTGGGTGTTATAGCGAAGGACATCCGGATAGGCTATCTGGTCCTTCTTGGAGTTGATCTGGGACATGACGGTAAGAACAGTCGGCAGAGACTGATACAACACCATCTGTAAAGAGTCAGATGCGCCCCAGTCTGGAATCTTCTTAAGACTACCAAGTTCATCGGGCCGAGTCAAGGGAGGCATTCCCGTACACATGGCGACCTTGATGTCGAGATACAAGATGGTAAGCCATAGTTTCTTTCGTGCATCGTTCTCTTCTGCGCTCTGCGTCGGATCGCCTCCGGTCGATGTATCTTGAGGCAAGCCATATATGAATGCAGTGCGAACAAGCATACCGAGAAAAGACCAGCACGAGTCCACAGACCAACAAGTGGCATTGCAAACTTGCTTGGCTACCACCATCAAGGCCATCGTCTTGAGCGACAGCAATGTTGGTCGGAATGACCAAGGGGTCTGCATGAGACAGGCCTCAGCGCCCATCATGAGCTCTACGGCTACGGGTGATTCATTGCAGGCAACAAAACAGCCCAAGCCCAGGACCATGAGAAACTGAGACAGCCAGCAAAGGTTCACGGCATGCGGATCCACCCAATATCGCTCAACCTCACGTTCAAATATGTCAAAGTCAAGTATGGGATTCACTACATCGAGTAACTCGACATAGCCCTGGATATACTTGCCAACGTTGGCTTTCTCAGTAGCAAGCAGCCGAGTGACGGCATCGCGCGTGTAATACTTGCTTGCGCCAGGTGTGCCAAAGGGAAAATTTCCTGGCAAGGTGAAATTAGCCAAGCAGGCATTTGTTGCGACATCCTCAAGCGCTGCGGCAAGCGAATGGGATTTCATCTGTGTCAAAGCACCAATCTAGTCAACGGTTAGAAGTGTCTGTATTAATATCTCATACAATGGCCAAGATGCTCGAGGTTCCATCCAGTTTAAGCGGAAGATGGTGCATACCTTGGTCATGAGATCCCGCCAATGGCTAGAGCCCCTAACTTTGTGTTGAACCTGCCAAGTAGCCAAGACAGTCTTTGTTTCCTCGACCTTATTGGATGTCGGTGCTGAAGGACAAGGAAACTTGCCGCCGTTGGGGCCTTTGTTGTACGTATAGTAGCATTCTCTCCCGTTCCCACTAGACTTGCATCTACCACAAGGCAGCTCCTTGTCGCATTTGACCTTGAGGCGATGGCAACGTAGACAGCTGAGACAGTTTCGCTTTCGTTTGCGTATAATACGCTGGGCGGGGGCTGGAGGTTCGACTGATGCTGTGCTTTCTTCAGGAGCAGGGACATTATCAACTGTAGAAGGCTGAGGCTCAGGACTTTCGGTCGAGGTCGATGGGGAAATCAGGCCATGGTGGTTAGTCGGATTCGAGGAGATATCATCGTTGGTTGGCGGTGATGTCGCAGTAATCGATGGCACAAAAGCAGGACCTCCCACCGGGTTCGCTAGAACCGAAATTGCTCCTGATGGTACCGCATTGGCCGGGACCGCACTGATCGGAGCTGCATTAATTGGGACGAAGGAAAAGGATGTAGTGGTGGCGGTACTCGGGGTATCGACGGAGGAAAACGAATCCGCAGATCCCCCTTCATCAGAGTTATAGTTGCAGTGGGTGCTGGCTTGGATGCAGCGAGAGCACGCAGGTTTCAGCAGGTCGCAGCGCCTCTTGAAATGGCGACAGCGGCCGCAAGTCTTGACCTCGCGCATCGGAATGACAGCAGGTGGCGGCTGCTAAACGAGGCGATTATATGAATTCTCGTGTATCCAGTGGCGACGGCGTGAAACTGCGCGACAAGCTATTTCGTCGTACAAGATGATGAATATTTCGCGAGCTGAAATAGCGTTCAATACATGTATTCCGTAAAGGCATCGGACGATGCAGGTGGCCTTTAACGGGTGCGTCTGGGGTTTCCAAGCTGCTAGGAACGTGCAGTGGGTGCGGTGCTATGTTGTGCTGTGCTCTGTGTGTGTGTGTGTGTGTGTGTACGGTAACGGTACGGTACGTGTTACGGCTTGCTTGTTTTGTCGATTGCCTTGTTGGTTCTGCCTCCTGTTCGTTCGTTTTTTTCTGTGTGCCCTCTCAAGCAAGTGGTTTCGACGCCGACTGATGAACCCGTCAGAGCGGAACCAATGTATGTATTAATTCGACGGGTCCCTTTTTAGAGCCTGACACTGACACGGGACACGAAAATGACCCCAATCAATCCAGCAGGGAACTGTTGGTCGGCGCTTTGTTCGAGCCAAGCTACTGCGGTTGCGGTTGGTTGAGTCGAGGTCAATCAATGTTGCAGAACAAGGAGATGCAGGTCAGGTCAGGTAGGTAGGTAGGTAGGTCGGTCGATATGTCGAAGGCGAGAGCCGAGCCTTGTTTGTGATACGATGTCTTTCTGTCTGTCTGTCTGTCTGGTGGAGGTGTGACTGAGATTATGTCTGTCAAGGTAAAGCAGGTATGGAGTGCGACAGGAAGTAAGAAAGGACAAGGAAAGAAAAGTAAAGACAAGAGAAGAGAAAAGAGAACCTGAGTCGGCCGTAAGCGGATGATGAGCTTGGCGACGACGGGGAGGTGATCAAGGTGATAAATACCATGGGCCGGGCTGGGCTGGTCGAAGATTTATTAGAGTAGCTGCCAGAATTGCGCCAGAATACTTTTTAGCGACAAGGATCAGTAGGCACAGGTACAAGCAATAGGTAGGTCGTGCTAAGGGTTACCCCCCATGGCGAAAGATGGCGCGGTCTAAGCCGAGAAGAGAGAGAGCCCTGAATAAATGAATGGATGAATGGATGAATGGATGGATTGGATGCTTCAGCTTCCATGCTTGCTTCCTTGGCTACTTGCTTGCTCGCCTGGATCCAGGTTCCTTTAAAAAGACGCCTACCTACTAGGCAACCGTACTCCTGTGCTCCAGCGCGTTGTGCATTTATGTCGCAGCACCTGAACAGTCATTTGTTCCCTATGGGCGGCGGGCAATGCAATGCAATGCAATGGATGGGATCCATGGAATCCCATCCCAGCTGGATCTGTCCACCGAGGCTCCTCCAATGTCAGTGAAGCGAATTACGGCGCAGTGGTCCATCACTGGAGTCCGTAGGGGGAGGAGGCTACGCTAGACAGGGTCGCTGGAGACCCCTACAACAACAACAGTGAGGTGGACACAGCGAATTAGCCCCATCCATCCACCCCCTGCCTAGCCCTGGAGATGCTTGCCTGCCAACCTACAGGCTACGGGTGCAAGCAAGTGCCAGGCCACTAGTTCGATCGAAGCCACAAGGAGCCCTGGAGGAGCAGAAAAGGCCAACGCGCAAGCTAAAGTGCTAAAGGTGGGGTCGCACTCAAACTTGACAAGGATTCATGCATCACCTTTTCAAGAGGCTTTGACGAGACAAGCAACACAAGATTGACAAGCACGCATACAAGCAACGCAACGCAACGCAAGACGAGACAAGACGAGACAAGACGAGACAAGATGGAGGGTCGCCAAAGTCTTTAGAGTGCTGGTCAGTGCTGGAAAGTCGCTTCAAGCTGCCGGATGGGGCAATCCAGGTTGGCTAGGTTTGAATGGTCCTTTGGACTCTGTTGGTTAATTCTTCAACTGCAGCCAACCAACAAGTCTTCTATCCGTCCCGTCAAAGGCCAACCAACGACACGAGAAAACATCTTGCAAAAGGAAGAAAGTGGAAGAGAGAGCGAGAAAAAGAACCTTTGCAAAAGGCGCCATGGTTTTCCCTTGATTGGCCTACCCAGACGGAAGCACAGCACACTAAGCCCTCTCAGCATCGCAATACTACCTTCAAGAATAAGCTAATCAAGATGTCTACGACACCCACAAGTCTCAACTTAGGTCACACTAGCCTTACATGTGGCGCCTGGAGAAGGCGGAATGGATGTGTGAGGCAACGTTTCCACCCCTTGAACGATAGACGGCCGTGTGTCGGAATCTAACATGTCTTATCCGGCATATTGTGTGTTGCCGCTGCGGTGCCGACTTGAATCTACTAAGAGAAGCGTCACAAGATCTTTGTTAATATCAAGATTTCATTCTACTTGTAGGTACGCGAGGCTTAGCTGCAGGTGTGGCTGTTGGGAAGGAAACAAACAGCTCAAAACTGCTTTCAAAAATATGCCAAGAACCCTGTCATGACAAACAATAGCAGGCTATAGGTTATGGTTTGTTACGCTCTTGGGGGCGAGTGGAAGCTCGGCAGACAAAGGGACCCGTCTCCACAATCGAGACTCTCGAAGCTCGAGTGAGTGGCAACAGCTTAAGGCTGAATAAAGTTTTGGTTCAAGTACTACTCTTGATTGCCGGGCGACTCCTTCGGGATCGGTGCGACAGGCGGCAGTCGACAAGACAAGCTGGCAAGCAAGAGACAGACGCAAAAACAGCGTGCTTGGAACTCTGGCAGAATTGACGCTCCGGCAGCTCCACAACCAAACGAGTTAACCTAGACGCCAGCATTTGCACAATACAGGGAGGCAGGTTTCGGACCCTGAGGTATCTGTGTGTGATGCAATCACGCCACCACATTGGCGGCAGCATTCCAGTGGCCCTGCACAATGATACAGGTAGGTAGATACCCATGCCGCCATGTTCTGTGATGAGAACCATGCTTGCTTGCATCTGCCCCTGACCCTTTGTTCAGCCATGAATTTAGCATTGGCCACAAGTTCCATTGGAATTTACTCTTGATTGCTGCGGTTAGCCACTCATACCAGGTCATCTAACTCAGCCTTTGACAGAAACAAGGAACGGCCGAGGAATCATGATGTTGGCAATTTCCAGGTTTGCAAAGCAAATAATGGAAGTATCTGGTAGCTTTTGGAACCTTTCTCGGCACTTCATCTTCTTTTCTCCTTGCCATGATCATCTGGGCAGTGACAGTGTGAGACAGGTCAAGACACGCATTAGCTCTTCGGCAAGATTTACGAGATCTCGGGGCAAAGCATCCCCCTTTATAAGTTGCATTTTGGAGGCCGAGCTCTCAGCAGGACCGGTAGCTCAGTGGTAGAGTGTGAGATTGCAACCTTCACGGGTCCACCCGTGGCAAAATATCTCCAGGTCGCGATTTCGATTATCGCCCGGTCCTGACATTTTATTTTTGTGGCTTCACTGTTTTTGTTTTTTTGGCCTGCACAAAAGGTCATATACCGTGTACGGCTGGCTATACGGAGTACGAGCCGGGTCTGTTTCTATTGTGCTGCCATTGTCAATGAACACCCATCTGCCCTCTTCTCCACCCAACAACATCCATGGCTTGTCACAATCGTATTCTGACCAACAGCAGTTCTTTCTCGGTCTTTTCTCTTATATACTGTCTCTTTCAAGCTTTGGAGACCGACTGCACCCACCTCTACCACCAATATACAAATAGTGACACCCTGCGGGCACCAAACCGGGGCATCCGTCAACATCGGACTTCACTGTTGTCATCATAAATAAGAGGCATAAATACATGGCCTGATGTATTCGACCAACTTTGGCCTCCCAACTCTTGGAGCCTCCTCGCCTTCAAGCTTGACCTTTTCTCTTCTCTCCCCCTCTTTAAGCTCTAGGCTGATATGGGATAATTCATCCTATTTGACCGGGAACTATCATCAGGAACGACCACTTCCACTTTAGTTCCCGTTCCTGGGCGGGCTGACACGGCAATCCACGCAATTCATCGAGCAGATTCCGGCTATTCCGGGTAGCGTGATTCCCTTGATCGATACTTTACCGTGGCGAGATCTTTTGACCGATCTTTGATCGGCAGCTTAACTGGCGCTTAAGCTTTGCGAGATGCGCCATGATTACAGCTCCCTTGGAAAATCATGACCCTGCGGGTGGCTTATATTCTTTACTTTCATTTCTCGGCTTGTTGGCTCCTGAGCCAGTCTGTCCACAGTTCCCGCGTTTCACGTGGGGGTATTCGGGTACTGGAGCATGGATACGATTTATTCTCACGAGGTGAAGACATACCCACCGTGTACATTGGTAATATCATCTTCAGTATGTACCACGCCGGTAGAGGTGTGTATACCGTGCATGGAGCAGTCTCGGGCCAGCCGACCAGAGCAATGAGCACATCACACGTCTCTTTGATGAACGGTGCACACTCGCATTAGAGACTCGACGCGCGCTTCTGCTGATGCAATTACTAACTCACAACTTTATAAACGCCTTTTCCATGACATGACATCTCAAGTTTCCCGGTCTCCTTTTCAAACCATCCTCACGCCTACCTACCACATCTGCTCTAGTTTCTCATTTGTGAGACTAATTATTAGTTCTCTTTTCTTATTCTCATCCATCTTCGTCAGCCTCCCCTCGGTGGAGGTTTAGGATTCTCGCTTCATTTCCCTTTTGCGTACAATCTTCGTCGACTGACCGGCCCCTAGGCTTCACGCGTGGCATAGCGTGGCATAGCGTGTTCCTTCAATTAGTGCATTGAATGATGGTCTGGGTCAAGACGGCTCCCGGGTCAGACAGTGGAGCGGAACGGAACTTTGACATTTAGAGCCAACAAAGCAATCATGAAAGAGGTAAAAAGAAACGAAGGAGGTCATCACGGACCACCAACCATTTCTACAGAAAAAGAAGCAAATATTTCTTTTTAAAACTTATTTTTATTTGCTATTGCACTAAGCTTTATTAGGTTCATGCACTTCACGAGCTTTGCCACAATTGAGCTTCATATTTCTGGCAAGGCGTATGAATCCAACGAACAAGGCACTCAGAGAGTTCGTGCGCTCCTCTCAAATTCCTTCTGCGGCTGACCGGATCCGAGGTCTCTCTGTTTGTCTAAGACGCGTCGCCGTTGATTCTGTTAATCGTTATCAACGGTTTATGCATGTTGGTTCTGTTGATGAAGCTGCTTTTGGCGCCAGGCGGCAAGCTGCAGCTTCTGCTAGTCTTGTGAACATTCATCACACGTCACACTGGCGTATCAAATCATCAAAAATTACTAATTCGGTGAGAGGGCTCTCTACAAGCATGTACAGAGTACATGGCACATTCAAATGATCTCGTACGCTTTGATCACCACGCGAGTCGTGAGACATTAATCCTTGACCAGACAATCTACATCAAGGGTTTCATAGTTTAATCTCGGGAAACTTTCCCCTTATTTGTCTTTACTACATGAAGAAATCCTGGACCCAAGGCTTCTCGTTTTCGTTCTGCCATACACGGATAGCAGAGAGCCATCATCCGATGCGAAACTCAGCCCTGTGCTCCCGTCTCGCCTCATGTGAAGGTCCTCGGAGACAGTGCAAATCTGAAGGACGGATAATGGTTGTGAGACATATCTCACGTGTTTTCGACATGAAAGACTGGAATATAGATACACAACCAACACTGAACTGCTTGGTAAACATTGGTAAGCTTTGACGAGTCGTCACTGATTATTATTTCCTGCTTTCATGACATGAATGTTCGGACTTTAAAGATCTGATTCATACGTGTATTTACGACCGACTCCCGATCGCCTGGAAAGTCTCCTGCTTGGCACCTGTTCCCTGTCAAAGACCTTGCCATATCCCATGTCATCGCTCATATCCCCCCTGGATTTGCGGGATTCATCTTCCGATCCGGAGATTTCATCTCATGTTGGCATCATCTCTACTTGTACATCAACCATCAACCCCTCCCCCTCCCCCTTTCAGCTGCCCAGCTCCCACATGTGTTATTGGGCTGATTGGATCTTGGCACCAGAGTCATTCGCCTGCGCCCTCTCCTCCGTAATATCGGGCCCGGCGTTCTCGGCCGTCATGTTCTCCGCGGAGTTAAAGTAGTGACCGAACACTCGAGCCTCAATATCCTTCACGCCTCCCGCTCCCTTCCTCGCAGCACGGCGGAAGTAGATCCTCTTGGCCCACTTCCACGCCTCAATGCCCACGAAGAACAGAATGGCTTCGACAAAGACTACACCCCATTCCCAGCTAATGCCCGAATGCTTGAACACTACCGTGTTCAACTTGGGGATGTAAATTAGGGGGAACATGGACACGAACCCGGATACAATGGCCCAGAAAAGAAACTGGTTGCGCCAGGTATCCAAGATCCATTGCGTAAAGTAGCGTTTGCTCTTAGGCTGCATGCGGAAGAAAGAGCGTCGCATGTCGACCATTTCCCAGGCGAGGAAGAGGGCGAACCATGTGAGGCAGGCAAATGTCGTGGCGCGGGCGCGGAAGACGGGCTCACAGGCTTGGGAGAATTCTTGATTGCAGTTGTCGCCGAGATTAGCGGTGCCATCCCCGAAGCCGTACAAGACGAGGATGAAGGAGGCCAAGCAGAGGGCGGACATCCAGAGACCGTAGACGACCATGTCGAGTAAGAGTTCAGGGGTGAAGACGCCATGTTTGAGCTGTGACTTGTGTTAGATACATTGCTTTTTCTATTCTCTAGACTGGGGGAAAAATGTGTGACCAAGGCTGACTTACGTTCTGAGGCGGTCGCCGCATGATATCTGGCGCAGCTTCCTCGAAGCCCAAGCCCATATCCGGCATACCAGAGGTAATCATAATGATCCATAGAATTTGCACAGGAGCCAGCGGGAAGATGGATATCCCTCGATTGTCTTTGAACGCGAGGCCGATGATAAGTGTGCAGGCCTGTGCAATATTCTCCGCCAGGACGTGAAGAATGAACTTTTGGATGTTATCAAACATGCGGCGCCCTTCTTCGACAGCGTTGAGGATGGATGCAAAGTTGTCGTCCATGAGAACAATGTCGGATGCTTCCTTTGCCACGTCCGAACCTGCTAAACCCATGGCGATGCCCACGTCTGCGCGTTTCAAGCTGGGCGAATCATTTACGCCGTCGCCGGTCATGGCCACGAAGCGCTTGCGACGGTGAAGGGCCTCGATCATACGAACCTTGGTCCGGGGAGAGCATCGAGCGACGACGAGTGGCAGGTTGGGCAATTGATCGATTTCCTGATCGGCTAGTGCGTCGAAATCAGAGGCGGCCATGACCATGGTTCTAGCCACGTCGGCGGCGATTTCTTGCATCCTGCTTGGTAGGATGCCGACTTCCAGGGCGATGGCACGAGCTGTTTCTGGGTGATCGCCTGTCAACATGTGAACACTGATGCCAGCTTCGTGGCACATCTTTACCGATGGAGCGGATTCAGGACGAGGCGGATCGTATAGACCAATGAGGCCACGGAAAATGAGGTCCTTTTCAAACTGTCCGCGGTCTAATTCGGCTTCATTCTCCTTGACGAGTGGAATCTCAGCTCTGCTAGCAAGTGCCAATACGCGAAGACCTAGGCGAGCCATGGCCTCCATGTTTTGAAGGACTTCAGTCTTGGTGCTTTCGGGGAATGGCCTGACATCACCGCCCAAGGCGTAATACGGGCACAATGTTAGAACTCTCTCAACAGCCCCCTTGGTGAACAGCCACGGTGTTTGCGTGGTGCGATTTCTGAAGATGACCGACATCCTCTTTACATCCGAGTCAAAGGGGAATTCTGCAATCTCTGACCACTCTGAGTTGTCGCACTGTGAAAGGCGGTGTCGGTTCCAGTTGAATCGGGATGCAAAGACCTGAATGGCAATCTCGGTAGGGTCACCGCGTGCGTGCCACTCGCCATTGAGTTGGGTAACAGAGGCAAGGTTAGCCAGCGAAGCAACGTTGAGGTACTCTCTGACGACAGCATTTCTGCTCATCTCCTCTGCATCAACGACATGGCCATCTGCCTCTGCAGACTGGGCCGTTATATCCTTGGGCTGGGCTTGCACCAAATCCAGCCCCCCGACGCTTGGATTAACAGGTTCCTTGGTTGCGTCTACGGAAAACGTCCCGCAGCCGGGGATCCACGCCTTCTTGACAATCATTTTGCCCTGGGTAAGCGTGCCCGTCTTGTCCGAGCATATATCTACGGGCAAATTAAGCGGTTGACGGACGGCGTGGGTATGCGACACTTACTAGACACCCCTCCCAGAGCCTCGAGGCTCTTGAGGTTTCGGACAATGACTTGGCGATGGACCATGCGCTTCGTGCCGGCCGCCATTGTGATTGTGAGGACGACGACGAGAGACGCGGGTATCATGGATAGGCCGGTGGCCACGGCGTAGATGATGACTTCTCGCTGTGCGCTGAACT